TTCCCTGTCATAGAGAGAAAATACTGTTTTTCATTATTGTTTATGATGTTAACTGTAGGATTTTGGTTGATGCCCTTTATCAAATTGAGAAAATTTCCTTCTGTTCTTACTTTTATGAGGATTTTTATCATGAGTGGATGTGGAATTTGTTAAATGATTTTCTCTTTCCATTGAGACAATCATATGGTTTTTCTTTTTTAGTTTATTTAATGGTGAGTTATAGTGATTATTTTTGAAGGTTAAACTGACTTGTTTTCCTGAGATAAACTTCACTTGGTTATAATGTATATCCTTCTTATTTATTTTTGGAATTGAATTGCTAAAATTTTTGTTAGGAATTTTTGCGTCTACATTCATGAGGTATACTGTTCCATATTTTTCTCCTAATGCCTTGGCTAGTTTTCTTATCTGGTAATGCTGGTCTCACCTTCCCTTTTCTTGTGTTTTCTTTTTATTTTTTTTCTCTCTCTTTTTTTAAAGATTTTATTTATTTATTTGACAGAGAGAGACACAGTGAGAGAAGGAACACAAGCAGGAGGAATGGGAGAGGGAGAAGCAGGCTTCCTGCGGAGCAGGGAGCCCAATGTGGGGCTCCATCCTAGAACCCTGAGATCATGACCTGAGCCAAAGGCAGATGCTTAACGACTGAGCCACCCAGGCACCCCTTTTCTTGTGTGTTCTGAAAGAGTTTGTGTAGAATTGGTATTATTTTTTCCTTACATATTTTGTTCAATTTACCAGCCAGTCATCAATCCGTAGTTCTTTGTTTTGTTTTTTTTGTGGGAAAGTTTTTAAGTATAAATTGAATTGTTTTTAATAGATATAAAGCTGTTCCTCTTATTCATTTCTTTTTTTTTTTTTTTAAAGATTTTATTATTTATTTGACAGAGACACAGCAAGAGAGCAGGGGAAATGGGAGAGGGAGAAGCAGGCCTCCCGCTGAGCAGGGAGCCTGATGCAGGGCTCGATCCCAGGACCTGGGATTATGACCTGAGCCAAAGGCAGATGCTTAACGACTGAGCCACCCAGGCTCCCCTTATTCATTTCTTTTTGAGTGAACTTTGGTAGATTGTGTCTTCGAAGGAATATTTTTTTCATTTTATTCAAGTTGTGAAATTGACTGGCATACCATTATTAGTATTCCTTTATTCTTTTAATGTCTGTAGTGTCTATATGTCACCTCCATCATGTCTGATATTAATTTGTGTCTTTTTTTATGATTAATCCAGATGTTTATCCATTTCATTGATCTATTCAAATAATTAGCTTTTGATTTCATTATTTTTATTTTGCTTTATATCTTAATGATTTCTGTTCTTTATTATTTTAATTCTTAATTTGGGCTTAATTTGCTCTTTTCAAACTTAAGGTAGAAACTTGGGTCATTGATTTTAAGCCTTTATACTTTTATAATATACATATTTAATGCTATAAAATTCCCTAATCACTGCTTGAGCTACCTCCTACAAATTTAGATTATTATGTTAATGTTAATTCAGTTTAAAATATTTTCAGTTTTCTGTTCCGCTCCTAATCTTCCTTTTGCGTAACTGATGAAGGTCCATGGGAAAGAGCTTTAGAGTGGATTTGAACTCTTGTTTTGTGTCTGGGGCTCCTAGGGATTCCAAACCAGCATAGTAGCCCATACTTCACCTTTAAGAATGTGTTAAAAATTTAACTGACTTATTACCTATTTGTATGATGACCACCTCTTTCTCCTGTGTTCTGTCAAAGGTTAAACAGATCATGTACCCATCTTTCTTTAGAGGGTCTTGTCACTGTGGAATTCAGTTTACTTGGTTGCTGTGTGATTTCAGTTCCCTGATGGGCTCAAGAAAATTTATGAATTTATAGTTTATTTGACTTTGTCCTTACTGTTAAAATAGGAGCCATGTCCTCTTTGGAAGCAAAATATTTGTTAATCATACTTTAGAAACAGCCTGTTTTTCTGCCCAGAACCACAGCTGGAAAGTCCATTTGGGATGCTGAAATTTTCTTACTTTTAAAATGTCATAACTATTTCATCAAACACACTTCCTTCAGGTCATACTGTGAAATATTTCTACAAGAACACTAGAGTTAAGAGTCCATTTCATAAGATTCTTTTCTTTGTGATATCACCTCAGATGTAACTTTGTCGTACACTGTTGAATGGACTCTGGAGTGGGCAGGCAAGGAAACAGAGTATTATTACTGGCTTTCTCATATAAACAGTTATGCAAGGTCAGGGTTGGGAAGGCCGTCCAACAGTATGTGGTCAGTATGGCTACCAGCCGACTGGTGATTCAAGTATCATGAACAAGTCATCTGCTAATGATCTTGGAACATTTCCAGTGTTGGCAATTTCATTATTTTTTAAGGCAGCCCATTTTATCTTCTGTTAGTTTTGACATTTATATTGTTCTTTGTTTTGAACACTTTCCCTTCTCTAGTCCATTCTTAGCTACCAGCTTCTGACTCTAGCTCGATGGGTTATAGGTTTGCACCTGTACCTATCGGTCAATAAATGTGAGCAGTGGCTTCTCAAAAGTTCTTTCATGGTAATCACGTTGGGTTCTCCTTACTTGATTCTGTTCTGCTCTTGCTCCAAAAACAGTTTCTACCTAGCCATGAACTCTGGCTAAAGTAACCCCAGTTTGAACTTACTTCTGGTTTTTTGAAAAAAAATTTTTTTTTGTATTATTTTATATTATTGTTTAGACTTCCCAGATTTTAAGTTTAGCATTTCCTAGTGGTTTGCTATTTGGATTTGTGTTCTGGTTCTCTGTACTCAGTGTTGTCTTGGTAAAGAAACTGTGCTCTAGTTCCAGGCCCTTGGAAGCCAGACTCCATGATCATTTGTCAGTGGTCCCTAAGAGCAGGGAGGATTTAAGCAACTGTATCCTTGTCCCTCTTCCAAGAGGGATGTTAATTCATTCTTCTACTTAGAGTCCCTTCAGATGCTTGAAGAAGGCTTTATGTGCATTCTAGTCATCTCTTTTTCAGGCTACACCCTAATATCTTCTAATATGCTTCTAATGGTAGGTTTAACAAAGAGAGAATATGTTGATCCAACCATAGGTAGGTACCCAAATTATTGTCTTTCCAAATTGATTTTTCTCCTCTGCTTTCTAATTTCCTGATGGGTGAAGATTCTAATTATTACAGATCCAACACATTATAAACCCTATTATCTTCGAGTTAAAATTTTTTTTAGAAATAGATATATATGCACAAACTTAAACTATTAAATAATTCTGCAAAGTTAAAAAAAGAGCAGTCTTTTATTTTCCCCTTCCCCCCTCCCCAGTGGCAATCTCTTACCACCACATTTAGCTAATTATTTTGGTATTTATTCATTGTGTCTAAATAACATGCTTATACACTCATTTTTTTTGATGTTCAGTGTTTATGTGATCATGATTGTGCACCTGCTATTCTGAGATGAACCATTTAGTGTACTGTGATCTGTTTCCCTCGCCTGGACAGCTTTTTGTTTCCCTCTCATTTGCCTTCTTGTTTGATTATTTTTATATGTACATATCACTCAGTCAATCCTTCTTGATTGTTTAACTCTCCTTTGAAGATGTTCAGATCTACCAGACATCCAGTTCATTCATCTTGTTGAAGAAATTGCTCACAGAGCCTTCTGCGCTTCCCCAGCGTGCCGGCTGCCCTCGCCACCTCGTGTGGAGCACCAGCCTGAGAGCTCCCTTCCCCAGCATGTGGGGATTTTCCTTTCTTATCTTTTTCTGACACATCTCTTGCGTGCTTGTCTCCCTTTTCCTTAGTTCTGCTCTTTTGTTTGATCCTACCCTCGTACAGCTTCTCGAGAAGGGATACACAAGGATGTCTGAAATGTCTTCATTCTACTCTAACACTTAAGCAATAGTTTAGCTGAGTGTAAACTATCCATTTTTCTTAGAATTTGGAGGCATTTTGCATCGCCTTCTAAAAGACTTTTAATTTTGAAATGATTTTAGATTGACAGAAGTTACAAAGATAGTACAGAATTCCTGTACACCCCACACCTGGCCTCCCCTATTGTTAACATTGTACATCACCATGGTACATTTGTCAAAACTTAAGAAATTAATGTTGACCCACTGCTCTTAACTGACCTGCACACTTTAGTCATATTTCACCAGTTTTTCCACTAAAATCCTTTGTTATCCTTTGTTCCAGGATCAAATCCAAGATACCAAATTGAAATTAGCTCTCATGTCTCCCTAGTCTCCTCCAAACTGTGATCAGCTATTCAGTTTCCTTATTTTTAAGAACTTTGATACTTTGGAAGAGCAATATTTTTGTAGACTGTCCCTCCATGCATTTGTCTGATGTCTTCTCATGTTAAAATGTAGGTTATGGATTTGGGGGAATATGACTGCAGAGGTGAAAGGGCCCTTCTCTTCACACCATATCAGGGGACACATCATATCAATGTGACTTATTACTGATGATGTTAACTTTGATCATTTGGTTAAGGTGGTATTTGCTAGGTTTTCTCTGTGAGTTTACTAGTTTTCCCTTTCCATTAAGCGAGTCACTATGTCCAGGCCATGTTCAAAGGGAGAAGAATTAAGCTCCACCTCCTTGAGTGCAGAATTATCAAACAATTTGTGGACCTATGTCTAACGAATAAATATTTGGGGGGAGGTATTGTGAGGCTATGCAAGTATCCTTTTTCTCCTTAAAGTTTTCCCCACTAATGTTCATTCATCAGTTAGTCTTACCATTGCTTTTTAACTTCCAGTGTTAATGTCAAGAGATCTAAAACCATCCTAACTGCCAATCCTCAGAATTAGATGTTTCCTCTCATGGAGGTTGTAGAATCTCTTCCTTCTTTCCTGTGTTCTGGAATTTTGTAAAAACGTTTAGCAGGAGACTGTTTGTGTCACTATGGAGTGAAGATATTTGCTTTAAAAAGGAAAAGTATATGTTGGGTTCTGTTATTTTGAGGCAGGAACCCAAGACTTGTGCTTTCTTATATATTTAATTCTTTTTTCCTTTCTCTCAAACAGGGTTTACCACCCAAAAGATGGAAGGCTGACGTGACACACCTGAGTTGCCCAGAACCTGCGGTGTTTGCTTTCTCACCTCTGGCTCCACGTTGGAGCTCTTTGCGGGACATGTGGATACCAAGCTTTGAGCAATCCAAGAAAGAAGCCCAGGCACTAAGGTGGCTGGTTGATAGGAATAAAAATTTTTCAGCTCAAGAGTTTTGGGCCCTGGTATTCAAGGACTAATTTCTACAAGTGTCAGAATGATATAGACTAGAGCTCTCTTGAGGTTTATTTTCTAGGTTGCCTTAATATATGAATATCATAGCTACTTTGTTGACTATCCTTTAGGATAAGGAGTACTTGCTGCCGTACTCATGATGAGCCCTTGCACATAATGGATGTGAATTGCCCTTAGGGGTCACCTCTATATTTTTTATACTAAAAAAGTAAATATTTCTTATGGTCACCTTCCATTTACATGTCTGGACCGATGTACCTGCCGCTTTTTGTGGAAATTCAGCTAATGTGAATTGAGTGCTCCCCTCCCTGCAAGGGAGGCAGAGGGCGGAGCTGTGGATTCTTGATACTCACCTCACAGTCTGCAGTTTATTAGTATTTGGCAAGCCCAGTGTCCTGATGCTGAGCATGAACGTGAAATGCATTAGAACTTGGCAATGAGAGATTCCATCTGTTGGTTTCCAGGGATGTAAGTGAGTAATAAAAGCTGTGTGAATTTTATCCGCTTTTTCTCTTCAAGTTAGAAGAATGTATGCCTGTCTGCCTTCTTACTCTTACTACCTCTCTTTCTTCTTTTCATCTTGCCCTGCCTCCTCCCCCATTTTCCCCCCCTGAAGTGGAATGTCTTCTGAAGATAAGCCTCCTCCTTGTGTGTTTTGAACAGTGAGATGTTCTCCATGGTCCCTTATCCTGCAGAACAGAGTAATAATCATGTGATCCCGGCCGGACACCCTGTACCCTCCGATCAATGTGAGAGTGGAAGTGAATGGCCCCCAGGAACTCTGGTTGTGTTGTGTAGGATGATGTACAGCCTGTAATAGTGGGCAATCCACTCTGGTGGGTGAGCATTCCTTGTCATTTCTGATCCTGTCACAGAGAAGTTTCAGCTGTCCTGTTGGGAGCATCCACTGGAGCTCCTTGAAAGACAAGGAGACAACACTGGCTCGCATTTTCTTCCCATGTGGGGGTGGGGAGGCTTTTAGAGGATCCTAAAGCCTGTTGTTACCGGACATATCCTGGCTTTGGTGCTCTTTATTGTGGAAAGACGTCAGCTCCCGAGGACAGGAAGAGTCCCTGATTCTCATGTCCCCTATGTGGTGTGCGGGTGAAACTTAGGACAGCTCCCGTGGTGCCAGCTACCTCTTTACCCCAGGCCAGTGCCTTCATGTGCCAGCCATGTGCAATCTCTTCCACGAGGAGTGCTCTCTCTGGCTGTGCAGGGAGAATGAGGACTGAAACCATTGCTTCATGTGCCTGAAACCAGTCCATTTGCTCAGGAACAAGAAAGGTCACATTGCTGGGTGGGAGAAGGTTCTATGACTGCATTTTTCTCCATCCCAGCACTGCCATTAACTGAATATGATTTGGTACAACTCTCTTAACCTCCCTGGGCCTTAGTTTTTGCACCTAAAAAGAAGCGATTGGGCTGGTCTTTGAAGTTCTTCTCTGCATAATGTTCTTTGTTTATCAAAATTAAGAAGCTTAATTTTGTAGAAGTTTTTACTCAGGCAGTAGCAAATCCTTTAGAGCCACTGCATGGTTTTCAAGGGAAGAAAGCTCTTTGGAGGAAGAAGCATACTTCTTGGGTAGTATTAGAGATAGAAAGTAGGTTATCTCTGCCATTTTTTTTCTGATGATATCCAAAGGGAAAGCATTGGAAAGGGAGAGTGTTTGTTACAGACCAGATTTTAAATTGTATATTAAATGAGTTTTGTTGTCGTACTCTTAGTAAAAAGCCCAGGATGTGATGTGTGCATTTGGTGAGGTATTATCCGAGAGATCCAGTTCTCCATAAATGCCTTAAACAAATACCCAGTGCTCATATGCTGCATATATGTTTTAAGCCTCAATATTGAGTGTAGTTTTGTTCTATCTTGGTTCTTCATCAAGACTCCGTAGACAAAATTCTGCCTAAACTTTTCTGAAGTATGTAGCCCTGAACAAATTTAGGGAAATGAAATAATTGATTGTTTAATGGGGCATAAACATCTTGTAGGGGAAGAGGATGGAGGAGAGGGAATTCCGTGGGATTGAAAATGAGGTGTGTTTCAGAGAAAATAGATTAAAAGTTCTTTGGGACTCTTTGAGTACCCATAGATTTGAGACTTTAATTATTAATATATTTTTTTGTTTAGCACATGTGTCTTCTGTAATAGGATTTGTATTAATAAGATGGTACCCTCGTCTGTGATAATTGCTGTCATGGGGTGAGAGGCGTGGCCCCACTGTAGCAGGATTCTTATCTGCAAATGGGGAGCTGTGCGGTTTTGAGTTCCATGTAAGTCCCCTCAGTGACATTGTATCCATTGATCCCATCAGACCGTACCTTTCTCTTTACCACACTGTCTCCATTTGTGAACTATGATTAAGAGAGAGTCCTCTCTCACCAGGCTGCTGTGAAGAATGGCTCATGGCTGTGAAGGACTTGGTATGATGCAACATTCTGTTTAGGGCGTCAATGCGTTTTGCTTGGATTGTTCTCAGAGACCGATTTTCTAAGTGATATGACAAGGTGGATAGAAACCTTTTCAGAAATGTTGAAGAAAGGGCTTACTAATGTTAGTCAATAGTCTTCAGATCTTCACCTGAAAATGAGATAACTTTGACCATTGATCACATAGCAATTATAAAATTTCAGAACCTGATTGTGGACTGGCTTCTTTGTTGCTCTTAAGAGCTAGAGTCCAGTAACTAGAGTATCAGTTGAGATTATTGTCATTTTAGTCACAGATTGAATGCAGTGTTATATGCGCTACTGAGAAGTGGAAGACATAAGCAAAAATGAACGTCCTTGCTTTGAGTCAAACGTTGTAGATTACACATAGGAGAACAAACCTAATATCTATAGAACACTGTATGAATCCGAGCACAGCACAGACCTGAACTTGAAATGTCCAGTGTTATACTGTGCATTTAAAAAAAAACCATTAGTGTAGCTCATAATTCCTGCTAAAGATGACAAGGCATTAGGGGACTCCGATGGAGAGTTAGTTTTCAGTGAATGATATTATCTGAAGCATCATGGGTACAACTCTACATAAATAACATATGTTTTTCTTGGAATCTTTAACGTATAAAATGTAAAAGTTCACAGGCCGAGAATAATGGTGGTTAGTTTATGTTTCAAATAACTTTGCAATCCTGAATGTTCTGTAAAGCACTTTCTTACCCTTCTTTAGGGAATTTCTTTGTTTTCATTTTTGTTGTTGTCATTAGTGATAATCGTCTTTGCTGCATAATTCTAATGTCGACCTATATCTTTATTTCTTCTGATTATAGAAATAAAAATGCTTATAAAACTTGGAAAATTGAATTATGAACTATGACTCTAGTAAGAAGACCTAGTTTTAGTCCCCAACTCTCCAGTATACCATCTAAAGATGATATCTTGGGGGCGCCTGGGTGGCTCGGTCAGTTAAGCGTCAGACTCTTGATTTCAGCTCAGCTCATGATCTCAGGGTCATGGGATCAAGCCCTGTGTTGGGCTCTGCTCTCAATGGGGAGTCTGTTGGAGAGTCTCCCTCTCCCTCTCTCTCTGCCCCTCCCACTCATGCTCCCTCTCTCTCAAATAAATAAATAAATCTTTAAACAAAAAGAAAGACAGTACCTAGGCCAAGTTATTTGGCCCTTCTAAGCTTCAGTTTGCTCACCAAGAAAAGCTTATTATATGTCCAACCGCTCTGTGAGGTTGTGAAGTGTAAATAGGCCAGTATTCATACTTCGCTTGATAAATGCTAGCTGTAGCTGTTACAGATCTCTGCAGTCATCACCCTTTGTTTATGATGACCTTGATTGAGATTTGCACACAATTATGTAATGGCTAATGATAGTACCAGCAATGGTACTCCATTTAGTTCTCCATTTAGTTATCTGATACCTATTTCTTTGTTATAAGATAGGCATTGTGCTGGGCACCTTAGCTGGTGTGAATCAGACATGGGAGAGAGGTATGGAGGGTTCTGGGTAGGGCTTTGTGATATCAGGATGGTATTAAAGCCAGGGACTGAGGAATGCTCAAATTGTACTATCTCTTCCCTCCATGGGATTTCTGATGGAGTTTTACACAGAGTTCCTAACAGCATAATGGGAATCACACAACCTTTTTATAGTAGCTGTGCAAACCCAACTAAATCCAGTGCAGTGATCTCTGGCAAAAGCCTTTCAAGTTTGCAATTCTCAATCTTGGGAGGAGGCTGTGCCCAGACCATGAGAGAGAGAGAGAGAGGTGACCAGGTCTGGAGGTCCTGCCCTTACAAGTAATAAGTTTACTTATTCACTGAAAATCAAACAAGAAGAAAAGAGGAAGAGCCCGCTCAGGACTTCTGGGAGACAAGCCCCGTTTTGCTCTTCATATTTATTGATGCAAGAATATGAGTGCAACGCATGGGAGCCCACTTTTAAGTCACAGTAACCTCTCTGACTAATAAAATATGGTCCATCAATATCGGGGCTTAACCCATTAAATTAGTGACCCTGGTGGTGGGTATTATTAAGGAGAAGGGCGCAAGGCAGAGGTGTGGGGAGGAGGAGTGACCTTCATGATTTTTATCTTCTCAACTCATTGGGCTTAACAGCCAAGCTGTAGCTGTATCCCTAAAGGGTGTGACCAGTCATGGTCCACAGAAACCTCCTTTCACCTTCCTGAGGCTTCTTCCGAAATATCTGTCCTAGAACCACTGACATGAGCAGTTGAGCTCTCTGAAACTTCTGAAATGAATGAGTTGCACACTGATTAATGCCTCCAAGGGTGTTTTGAGCCTGATTCTAGTAGGGGAATGAGAACGGAAATTCCCTATTTTATTTCTCATGCAAACCATGGCCACGTCATCCAACCTGGCTTTACCTAGAGAAGGTTATACAGCCAGCCGAAATAGGCCATTATGGATATTTGGAATTTTACTATCACAAACTCCTTAATTAAAAAAAAACCCGATTGAATAGGTAATTAAAGAAACTTAAAGACCATCAGGGTAGGTAGGGGGTGATATTAAGGGTTTTGAGGCAGGGGCAATATCTTTTTGCAGGAGCCTTTGAAATCAGCCTAACATAACTTGCTTCTTTTAGAGTAAACATGACTATGGGCACTCATCTAGTGGGTCACACAGGAAAAAAAAATGCCAGTTTTATTTAAAAATGTCCTTGATGAAGCAATAAAAATGACTAATTTTATTAAACCTTGATCTTTGAGTCCATGTATTTTTAATATTCTGTGTGACAAAATGGGGAGTATACATGTCACTTCTATATACCAAAGCACAGTAGGAATCTCAAGGAAAAGCACTTGTGTGATTGAGTTGTGAGCTGATCTAGCAGCTTTTTCATGTAATACCATTTTTACTCAAAAGAGCATCTAGCACACTACAGATATCCAGACTTGGGTTTTTGTTAGTCATCTTCATGAAAAAAAAGTGAGCCTGTCACTTTAAGAAAAGTAATAGATGTTGTTGCCCATGATTACATTTCAGCTTTCAAGTGAAAGGTAGGATTTTGGAAAACTAATTTCCACCACTTTAAGCATCAGAAACTGTCCTGATGCGATTGGTAGTGATATTAACAAATGCTGCTCTTGACACTGAGTGAAGACAGAGATGATTATGTGTTAAGAGTGTTTCTAGTTTATTAGTTTGTTTTTATAATTCTAAGAAAGGGAAAGAGGGTATCAAATACTAGAGAGAGAGCAATTTTTTTAAAAATTAAAAAAAATTTTTTTAGTTGAAGACTTCCATTACTGAAAATGGAACTTCCATTGGGAGATTTTTAAAAATTACTGATTACCTCCTTGAAAACTGGTGTAAGATAAAACGTAATGAGAGCTTTCATTGAGGGAAAAGAAGCCTTTGTTTTTAAATTGGGAAACAAGAAAAAATGGATTAAGAAACAAGAAAAATACTTTAAAAATATAACAAAATGATCATTATTTGGGTGACTCAGAATGTCAGGCTGCCTGGAATTTATTAATGTATTTAATACATTTTTATTGAGCACTTACTACGTGCCAGGAATTATCCTGGGCCATGGGATCCAGCAGTGAATGGAACTGACAAAATCCCTGCTACCACAGAGCTGACATTCTGATTCTAGTAGGGGAATGAGAACGGAAATGCATTAGCAGAATATAAACCACAGCCTGGAAACTTTATTTCTTTATTTTATAAGAGCCCCATGGGATGGAATTTACCTCCTGACTCCCTACCACCACAGTTGAAACATGAGATGGGATATAAATGGGTTCTATTGATAGAGTGTATTAAACATGCTATATTGACAAGAAGTGTTAAAAGTACTATGAGTGCAAATTTAAAATGAGTTGGCAAGTCTAGAAGTAAATCCTTTCTCTGTTCTTTTCATTCTTTTTTTTTTATTCTTATGTTAATCCCCATACATTACATCATTAGTTTTAGATGAAGTGTTCCATGATTCACTGTTTGTGCATAACACCCAGTG